ACGGCATATAACAACAACAAAAACACTGCCTTTTTATCTAAATGATGTTTTATTAGTACACAGCCAAATGTATTTTACATATTGTCTGTAGCTGTTTTTGTACTATAACAGCAGATTGAGTAGTTATGACAGGGACCTACAAAGCCCAAGATACTTTACCCTGGCCTTGACAAAAAAAGTTTGCAGACCCTGGCTCTAATGGTATACTCCTCTTTGCAATTTTTATCTCAGAAAGTAGTTGTCACAGAAGCTGTCTGATGACTTTTAAGAGATATTTTTTGGCTTTTTATATGTGTTCTGGTTGTTTTATGCAGTATTGTTGGCTTACCACAAGCTATTTCATTGTGCAGTGAAACCTGTGAAAGGTGGAAGTCACCTAGGCTGTCTTGTTTTTCCAGGTCTTGCAAGTGTTCCACCTTTGACACTGGGTTACCACTTTCCTATCACTCTTTATTAGTGGAAAATATTTGTTTCCTTCTGTGACAGATTTCTGCTTTATACAGGTTCTGGCTTTTGCAGGTTTTACTATAGCTGCAAGCAGAAATCTTTATTATAACATTGTTTATTTGATGTTAATTTCAGCATATTCTTTCTCAGTTATTTCACCATTCAGAAATTATGGATGGTTTGATAGCTGTCACTTACTAAGTCTTTCTTTTTTGAGATCCATAAAAAATTGGTCCAGAATTAAAAACAATGTTTAATACTTAATCCTAAATGAAATTAATTTGTGAACATTACTTATAATAGTTGGTTCAGTAGATTTTGACAAAAAACTAGTATCTTGGGGATGTTAACAAAATATTTTCCATAGTACTTTATTAACATGAAAAAGTTGAACATTGAAAAAGGAAGACAAAAGAATTGATGTGTTTAAACTGCAGTGTTGGTGAAGAATTTTGAGTATACTGTGTAGTGCCAGAGTACTAACAAGTCAGTCTTAGAAATACAACCAGCGTGTTTTTTAGACGTGAGGGTGTCAAGACTTCAGCTTCTGATTTATTTTGGACATAGTCTCAGGAAAGACCAATTGCTAGGGAAGGTCATCATGCTTAGTAAAATAGAGAGTGTCATTGAAAACGAGGGAAACGATGTGCAATGAGATGGACTGACAGTATCCACAATAGTGGACTCAAACATAACAGTGTGATATGAAGATGGTGCAGGACCAGTCAGTCACCTTTTCTTTCTGTTACAGGCAGGTTGCCATGCATTGGAATTGACTCAACAACAGCTAACAACAATAAGAAACACGAAAAATTAATGAAAGTGTATACGCAAAGCCAAAATTTCCCGCTTTTGCACAGCATATTAGGTGTATTTATTATTGTTTTGCTGCAGTAATTATTAGAATATCACTACCTTGTTTTACCAGGTTTTTAGTATCTTCTTTATAATAGCATTTTCCATGTATATTGAGTACTTTTTAATGAGGAAGATTATTATTGAAGTTACATTCTTAGAAATTATTTCTACCTTCATTTTGCAGCATGTTTATATTCCTTTATTTATTTTGTATTCTATCCTTATTTCTGATATCAAAATATTTATGTTTTAAGTAGGTTTATACTTAAAGATTATATCAGTAAAGAATTATAGACTTTCAAGTTAGAATCAGCAAAAATACTGAGTGGTATGTCTTCTGTGTCATTCTCTAATTAAGGTTGCTTATTGTGTGGTAGGAGCTCTGGTAGCATAGTGGCTAAAGCACTTGACTGCTAACCAGAAGGCTGGCGGTTCAAACCCACCGGCCACTCCTCGGAAGGCATGTTGGGCAGTCGTACTTCCATAGTGATACCGCCTTGAAAATCCTAGGAGGGGTCACTATGAGTCAGGTCCAACTCTTAAGTCAAAACAACAACATTCAGAGTAGAAAAGAAATCAATGAATGAATGTATTACTTATGTTCTCTTCTTAATAAATCTTACCTGACAACTCTGTTTAAAATTTTATCATCTTACCTACCCCTAAAACACTTTTATCTCACTTCTTTTTTCTTTTTTTTTCTCAAGGCATGTACTCCCTTCTGTGTATTGGCTGTTTCCCATAAATAGGAAGTAGGTGTCACCAAGTCAGGGACTTTTGTTACTTTAGTTTTGTGTGTTTCACCAGGGCCCCAAATATTGCCTGGCAAGTAGGCACTTAGTAAGTACTTGTAGAATGAAAAAATATCGTAAAATAATTAAGAGTATTAAATATGTGATATTTTTGTATGTTAGCTGAATTTTTATACTTTGTGAGAAATGGAAGCAGAGATACAAGCTTTGTGTCTATGTACTATACTCAATTATAATTATTCCAAGGAACTTTATAATTTAAAATTTATTTGCAGTGTAATTTTGGGAAATGGGTTAACTCTAAAGTGCCCTAAATTATGTATCTTAATTGGTGAGTAACAGATTAAAAATGTAAATTTTATTTTATTTATTTATTTTGGTTTTAACACTACTTTGGGTCCTCTAAACTTAACATGTATAAATACAAACCCTATGTTTCTGACTTCTTATTTAATTTTAGGTTACCCAAGAAGACTTTGTCACATTTGATTATATGCTATGTATGGATGAAAGCAATCTGAGGTAATAACGTTTTTAAGGAATATTTCTGTTCAACTCTCAGTTCAGTAACAGGCCAAGCAACTAGTTTACTATCCAAAATGACTTTTTTTTTAGCTTTTAATTGATAGTGATAGTCACAAAGTACAGAAAATTTATTTAGGATAGCAAGAAATTCATTGAGTAATTTGGAATTAACTCATGCATATATTTATAAAGATAAGGGAAAGTTTACCAAGCATGATTTAATTTGAAGAATAACTGGGTTGTGGTACAGTTTTATATAAAAAGATGGATTATTTCAGTATGAATGTCAGTGCTATTGGTAAGAGTCCTGGATGGTGTGGTGTGCTGTCTTTCTTATCTTATTCCTCTTTACCCCTACCCCTTCCCCATAAAAAGTAAGACTAATATAAAATAAAGCTTTTTTATGCTAAGTTGTCAATTGCTTTGATTAAAAAATTACAGTCTAAGGTATTAAATAAGGGACCGACTACTCCTTATATAATGGAAATTTTATGTGCTCTCTGATTCAAAGCACTTTATTCACATTAACTTTTTGAGTCCTCAAAACAACACACTGTGGCAGGTTAATATTATTTCCCTATTTTAACAATGAGGAAATTAAAGCACAAAGGTTAAATTACTTGTCCAAGTTCATACCACTAGTGAATGGGTATGATGGAATTTAAATCTAGGGCATATAGCACTAGAGCCCATACTTCTAACCCCCATTCCATACTACCCCATATGTGTATTTGACCTCAGGGGAACATTGTATTTTACCGACACAGAACTTGGTGGTATTTCTTTAGCTCAGTGTGTCAGGCAGTATGCTAGGAACCAGTGAAGGAATGATGCTGCCTGCTTATTGAAAGGTGCCCATGGGTGGGACATTTGGTTAAGCACAGTTGCTAAATGAAAGGTTAGAGGTCCAGCCTACTCAAAGGTGCCTCAGAAGAAGGACTTGCCAGTCTACTTTTGAAAAATCAGCCATTAAAAACCCTATGGAACATTGTCCTCTGCCAAATGTGAGTTTGCCATGAGTAGAAATGACTCAACAGCCACTGTTGATCACTTCATGAATTTTATATCTAGTGTGGATTACATGTTTTAAGGTAAAATTAAGCATAACTAGAGAGGAAACAATGAAATGAGACACTATGATAAAGTAACCAAAATAAACAAATACAGTGTAATTTTACAAATTTAGAAACACACACTTACCTTAAGTGATCAAATGAAGTGTACAAAGATTTTCTGATTCAAAAACAAGGAAAGTGAGCTTTCTATTATATACAGATTTTACTATTTAATACATAAGATCTGATTTAGTATATTAATCCATTTACACTATTCAATACTATTACAAGTAAGATCAAACACATGGTCATCGTGGTGGTCTTGACTCAGCGACGCCTCCTTCAGTTTCTGAGGTGGTATCTTTATGGAAGTAGATTGCCCAGTCTTCCTTCTGAGGAGTGGCTGGTGGGTTTGAACCGCTAGCCTTCTGGTTAGCCTTAGGCACTACACCACCAGAGCTCTTTTTTTGTTGTTGGTTTTGGTTTAATTCATTGTAACTATGAGAATTTATTAACTTGATGTCAATACTAATTTATAAATAATCCATATATTTTGTGAGGAGAAGCTATGGCTGTTTTAAGTCACTTTTCTAGGCATGAACAATATGAATGAAACAGTTTCTGATACTTCTTATCTTCATCTATTCTCATTTGGTGCTTTTATTACCAAATAAACAAGAAAATAGACACAATGACTGCAATGATGGGCTCAGGTATTGCAAGGATCGGGGTCGGGCACTGTTTTGTTCTGCTCTACATAAGGTCGCTATGCATCAGAGACGACTCGACAGCACCTAATAACAACAACAAACAATACATTCTTAATCTTTTTACAACTTTTTTTTTTAACCTACTACGGTTTTATTTAAGACTTTCATTAAAATGCAGACACTTTGTTTCTGTTTTTCAGTAGTTAATTTTTGCTCTCATTTTCTTACATACAGAATAATAGCATAATAGGTATTTCAAGAGTGTCATGTTAGAAAATGATTAATATTTCCACACTTGATTGGCAGTGTTGTTTTGTGTGTGATGCAATATAATCTCTTCCCTGATGCAGTTTTTGCACATTTTGTTCCTTCTTCGTAGAAGAGTTTTTCTTCTTTGTTAACTCCTACTTGTTCTTCATTTTTCAGCTTAAAGTAGTTTCTTGAGGGAAATGTTCTGTTACCTTGTAGCCTAGGCTAAATCTTCCATTCAACTCTCTAAAGATTTTCAGTAATCCATCTTTGAATTTAACAACTTAATCAGATTACAGTTCTTGATTACCATGTTTCATCTCTATACCCAGCACAGTTCCTGACTTGTAGTAGGTATTCAGTAGAAATTTGTTAAATGGATGAATGTTTTAAGTGTAGCTTAGCTAAGTTTGCCTTTTTATAGCAGTATGAAAGCTAAAGGTGGAAGACCATAAAGAGGAGGGAGATTACTTTTCAGTTTGAGACAGAGCCTTGAGGAATAAAAAAAGGAAGAATAATTAGTGAGGCATACTGCATGAAATACTGTGTCAAAATACCTTAGAATTGCCCATCTTCTGTCTTGGAGGTAGACCTGCAGAAGCAAGAACATGATTTATATTGCTGTTTGAGTTCTTTCTATCATCTTTTCTTTATCTGTGAAACACATTCTTACTGATTTACTATTCTGAAATATATTTCACAGGAGAAGACATAGTTATTTTCTGACTTAAAGGTATTTGTGTCAGAAATCAGAGAAAACGTGCTGTTGTTATATGCTTTCTTATCTAGAGATAACAGCAACCTAGAACATGAAGAATTATACAGATCTACTGAGTATTTGATTTCACTTTTAAATCAGGTCACTTTTACTGGATTTTGATAGGGATATTTCATAAATCCTAGCAGATGTCCCTGTTTAACTTGAAACCATAGATCAGAAAACTTAAGTTCATGTTTCAATTTTACAGAGATTTGAATAGAAAAGGTAATCAAGTTAAAAACTGCAAAGCTAAAATTGAACTACTTGGAAGCTATGATCCACAAAAACAACTTATTATTGAAGATCCCTATTACGTAAGTACAATTCACATTTCATTTTAACTTTTATGTTTATGGCTAATGTTAGCATGTTTGTATATTCTCCCAAATTAAATAACAGATTTAGATCCTCTCAGAGACATTTTGGGAGCTCTGGTAGCATAGTGGCTAAGACACTTGCCTGCTCACCAGAAGGCTGGCGGTTCAAACCCACCAGCCACTCCTCGGAAGGAAGGTTGGGCAATCCTACTTCCGTAGTGATACTGCCTCGGAAACCCAAGGAGGGGTCGCTATGAGTCAGGGCTGACTCGACGGCACATAACAACAACAACAACAGAGACGTTTTTGTTAACATATTTTTATTTTATTTATTTATTTTTCTTGCTCTTCTAGGGGAATGACTCTGACTTTGAGACGGTGTACCAGCAGTGTGTTAGGTGCTGCAAAGCATTTTTGGAGAAGGCACACTAAAGCTGCATCCATTCATTGCTAAAGGCCAACCATGATGAACACCTTCACAGTGATGCTCTATGTTTTCAATCAGTGGATGTGTTAAAGTCTAATAATATTCCATAACTCAAGGCCCCAACTGTTTCTTCAGTTAACCTGTTTATTACCTTAAAAATAAATGTAGATGGAAATCAGTGATAATTGTCAGAAGAATAAATAAAAATCTTTGATTCAGACAATTTATGGGGTAAATATTGTTAAATTAGTTAAACCTCCCAGTTTGTCCTCATAACAAACAAAAAAGAAAAATTTGTGTGTATTTTGTAGCACCATAATTCGTCAGCATTTGGTAGGTACTAATCTAAGGACTACCATCATTCTGAATGCTTAATGATAATAAATAATGAAATAAAACATCACTTAAGGCCTAGGTCAACATCTGAGCCTCTGACTTAAATAGCCTACTCTACCTCTCCAGTAAGTTGACATGGTAAGTTAATGAAGGCCAGGTGTCTTCTACTTACCTATACTACCTCTCATCTTTACCCCAGGGCCTCTTACAGAGTAACAACAGCCTGAGCCATAGGAGCTCACAATCTAAATTAGGTGTATTTTAATTTACACACACTCATAGTACACACTTTAATGTTTAAAGAATAGGAAAAGATGTATGAAATTTAGCACCTTAGATACTTCTTAATTTTTGTCTAGTTTCACAAGGAAGTGAACTGCTTTGCCTCTGAAATTTAAATGCATCAAAAGGATACTGTATGCTGTTTAATTTTATGGTCAGTTTGACAGACATGTCTTCTTTTATATACACATATAACCCAGATGTCAAATATATATATTGACTTAGGTGGGAAAAATAATTTAAAAAGTTGAAAGAGGAGAGTCCTGTTATGTTAAATACATGTGAAGTATTTCATCAGTGTTTAATAAGTTTATAGAATAATATAGGTAATTGCTGTGTACTGTGACATAACTTCAAACTCATCTGAGTACATAACAGAAAAGATTGTTTTCAGAATAAACAAGAGTATGAAAAGATTACTGTGATAAATCTGGTGTCTGCCTGCTTTTTTATTGACAAATGAAGCATTACAAATCAAGGCTTTATCTCTTTCAGTGATCTTTGGTATTATATGTGCATATTTACCTTCAGTATTAGGAAATAAAATGATGAAAATAAGCACATTGTTTCCACATGCAATAATGTCTGTCTCCCTTATACAAGAAGATGGAGGTCATTGTGAACAAAGTTACTGTTTTCCATGTAATTGTCTAACACCACTATGTTAGTTTCCTTATTTGAGTCCAGCTTCTCTCTCTTCAAACTTTTACATGGCACATCCCAAGATACACACTTGGAATACTAATATTGTATAGCACAGTTAGGTAATTGGTATTAATTGCTATATGCCGTGTTTAATCTTCCCCATTCACCGTTAAGTGATCTGAAATCCCGAAAGAACTCTTAATCGTGAAAAATCAATCCTCTCACAAAGGTGGTATGGCAACATCACCCAAAAGAGTATGAAGCATTTTAGAGGAATACATATGAAACTGCTCAGTGAGAATAATTGTTTCTCCTTGGTAATCTCAGCACATTTAACACTTCAGTTCCATGAAAGTCCCATGTGCTTTGCTGAATTCAACTTATTTTTGTAAATTCGATCCAATGAAATTAGCTTAAAATATATTTACCTGTAAAATTTGAGGTTGTCTTATGGTGCCTCTTAGCTTTGTGTTTTTGTGTATATAAAATCATGGAAATTAATGGATGTAGCCTTGTTTGAAATACTACCAAACCAGAGCCTACCCTAACAAGAATCCTAACACCAATATGTAGTAGCCTCTACTTTAAAAAGTAAAGGTAACTTAATTGTCCCTTACAAGAATTCTTAGCATCTGAGTTTCATCATGAAACTGTGCCTTATTGTTATTAAGTGCCATCAAGTAGGCCCCAACTCATAGTGACCCCTCCTTGGGTTTCTGAGGCAGTATCACTACGGAAATAGATTGCCCAACCTTCCTTCCGAGGAAACTATGCCTTATATATTTCTAACAGTCTGCCAGTATAGTGATCTCAATTTGTAAATCATGGATTCCCAACGATGAACTTGTTACAGGGGAAATAAACAAGACATTGAAGACTATTCATTATAACAAACATTCATTTATTACTTGTGTTTATTTACAGTATTTACATATTGCACAATAGCTGGAATACTATTTTACATTTATAATACAAAGGACAAATGAATTTAGCCTGGATAGGTTGTTCACAGATTTACACTCCACTGTCTCCAAAATATAACAAGTTTTATTTTTCATTCATGCAATTTCAAATAATGCTCTGGGAATGTAATTGTAAAAGTAATAAAAGATATCAAGTCATACCATACGCTATATGAAAATATAGTTTCAGAGTCTATGTTTCTAAAGAAATACAATTTGTGATTTCAACTGATCTGGAAAATGAAATATTCTGTCATTTGTAGAACTACACATCCAATGTGAAGTGTTACCTTTTCTAAAATAAAGAATGGTAAGTATCACTGTCAGGTATACCAATATACCAAATATTTATCTGCCAACAGTGTCAACAAAAACTCAAAAGGAATTATGGAAGAGTCTGTCTGCAAAAATAAATCTCTTGTTACACAAGGGAGTATGTTTATAAAGATATTAAGTTCTTTTCCCTGTTGGTTTCCAAGGCACTTCTCATGGTTTTCTTGGTAGGTTGCTCCTTTACTGCTCTATTTTGTGCTGAAAAAAAATAAATTTATTGTATTATTCAGTTTACTACAGCTATTCACTGTTTATATGATAGACACCTACAAGTTAAATAAAATTACATAATAAGATTTCTATAAACTTACATTTTTTTTGTCCTAAGAAACTAAAATCTGTTTAGTTTGGAAAGTAACTTAGTTCTATAGTTATATGCCTAATATGTGCATTATGCCTGACATTTGTTGTTGTTATGTGCTGTGGACCCAAACCCAACTCATAGCGACCCTTCCTTGGGTTTCCAAGGTGGTATCACTATGGAAGTAGATTGCCCAGCCTTCCTTCTGAGGAGTGGCTGGTGGGTTTGAACCACCAGTCTTCTGCTTAGCAGTCAAGTGCCTTAGGCACTATACTACCAGAGCTCCCTGCCTGACATATAGAAGGTACTAAAATAACTTACTAAAGGAATGAAATCTTAAGTAAAAGTAATTGCTTATTAAAGTTTAAGGAACAATGCTTATCTCTGATATATGTGCTGTAGTTAAAATTCTTCGTAATTCAATCTGCATTGATTTACAATTTGTGGCAATCTTGGGAAATGGGTTAGTTTTGTATTATACTATTAGTGTTAACAATAACTGAAGCTAATACTTCAATCAAGATTAAGCATCCCTTTTTCTAGTATACAATATAGACCTAAATCATGGATATACATTATGCTCAATTTTTAAAATAGTAAGATAAACCTGAAAATTATTAAGTCTAGGCTGCGTTTTATAGATGGCTGGAGTTGTCCTGGATATTTGTTATTCAAAACTGCATTTATTTAATATTCCAGAGCTCAGGCTTTAAATTTAACTCACCTGTAAATGCCTATTAATGAAGTACTATGTGTGTTAAGCAAGTCTTTGTGTGACTTCTGTGCCTGTTGGGAAGATTAGTTGGGAATATAAAATCTCTTTGGTCTAAGGAGCTCTATTAATGGGCTTCAGGAAGAATCAGGCAAAGAGGTGTGGTCTGAGGTCACGTAATTGTGTAGAAGTCTGTGCTTTAAATACCTGCATCTTTAAGATGACCTTATTTGAAGAGGAATCTTAAACTGCCAGCTTTGTCATACTGAATTAGTATATAAATTAATACCAAATATCAAAAGATATATTAAAAGAATGGTATTTTGGTACAGTGGAGGGATATCACATAGCTTGACTGCTAACCAGAAGGCTGGCGGTTCAAACCCACCAGCCACTCCTCGGAAGGAAGGTTGGGCAATCCTATTTCCGTAGTGATACTGCCTCGGAAACCCAAGGAGGGGTTGCTATGAGTCAGGGCTGACTCGACGGCACATAACAACAACAACAACAACAACTGCCACATAATGAAATATCAACTGGCAGCCAGTAAAATGTGTATTGAAGTGTCCTTCCCTGCCACCATATCTTAAAGTGATTCATATGCGTGTCATATGCTTCTTGTTGTTGTTATGTGCCGTAGAGTCAAACCCGACTCAAAGTGACCCCTCCTTGGGTTTCCGAAGCAGTATCACTACGGAAGTAGGATTGCCCAACCTTCCTTCTGAGGAGTGGCTGGTGGGTTTGAACCGCCAGCCGTCTGGTTAGCAGGCAAGTGTCTTAGCCACTATGCTACCTCCAAAATGTCTTTCACTGATTGTAAACCAAGCTGCAAAGTAATAGACTCTTGAGTATCTCTATACCGGTGCTCTCAAACAGAAGAATGGCTAACTAGTTAAAAGAGTTTGTTATTGCAATCTTAAGCCTTTAGAATTAGAAGAAACTTAATGAAAAAAAATGTTATGAAATTATTAGAGATAGCAGATATACTGGTGGTTTAAACATCAAATTCTTGGCCAAAGCTAAAACAGTTACTGCCAGTTCTAACCGGGAAGTAAAGAGATGGCATTCATTTTCTCCATTTGTCAAGTATGGTGGGCTTATAGGACTAGAAACTTGTGACATGTATATTCATCCTTTTATTTTTAATGTATGTATTTTATTATCCAGTTAGATTATTATTTGGTGGTTCAGGTGGGGAAGTAATGCAAAGGGTTGTATTGTTAATTATAAATGCCATTCCTCAATGCAACCTTTATTTTACGTGCCTAATAGAATAATACCAGACTCACAAATATTTAAACATGATCTCTCCTTTATAGCTTTTCTATGAAGGAGAACCATACTAGTATTCAGTTTGCATTTGGCAAAGCAGTGATGTGCTCATCCTGAGACTGGTGAAGAAATGCAACCACTCTCAGTAGTAATTCCATATACGCCTAAGTTCCAGTGGTAATGATTATGCTTGCTATTTTGCTTAACTAGTAATTATCTGTCTCCAGGAAAAACAACTGAGGGAAAGTGGTTGATCAACTAGTTGGCAAACGGGAAGAATGTAGACAGAGTGCCCGCTTTTTGTGATGTAAAGATAGGGCATTTATTTTCTCCATTTGTAAGTGGATAAAATTTCATTCCAAGAGTATGCATGGTCCATCTCTGGAAGCAGTGGCAATTTATCCATAAGGGGACACTTAATAACATTCTCATTTTTCCTAGCATACCAACTTGGCAGACTTACGGGAATCTTCATCCATTCATTGTTTTTAAAGAAGAAAATGAAAAAAATGGAACCATTTCTATGTGCCACATGAGCAAAGGACTAGAACAATACTGCAATAAGAAATATAGGCAGAAGATAAATTAGTATATACCATTTCTCAGTTTAGACTGGTATGTTTTCATGTCCACAAAATTAAAAATTTCATGAAAGTTTTAGAGGACTTGTATAAAATGTAGTATCATAATTATCTATTAGCCACATCGTATCTTGCTTCATTCCCCAAATTTTATTCCTCACATTTATTACTCATTTTTCTGATATGGAAAAAATGATGTTAAAGATGATATTAATCATACCTGCTATGCCTCAGAGCTCTGGTAGTATAGTGCCTAAGGCACTTGACTGCTAACCAGAAGGCTAGCGGTTCAAACCCACCAGCCACTCCTCGGAAGGAGACGGGGCAAACTACTTCTGTAATGATACTGCCTCAGAAACCCAAGGAGAGGTCACTATGAATCAGGTCTGACTTGATGGCACAAACAACAACAACATGCCTCAAGTCAACATTTTTTCTTATGTGCCTAATACAGGAGAGTCAGGGCTTTGTCTCAGCATTCATCTGCTGCAATCTCAATACTTATAAGCACTGACTTTCTTTTCCATAGTGAGTGTGTCTGTATAAGAGAGAACTACTCTCTCATCCATTTTACACGAATCAAACTAGAGTAACTATTAGAAAAATACAAGATCCCCTTTTCACTGATTATTTCTAGTCAGCTGATAAATTTTCTGGGAAACAGCCATTAGAGGACAAGAACCATGTCTTATTTATGTGGTATACTCAACATCTAGCAATGCCTGGCAAACACAAGACATACAATAAGTATAAAATTGGTGAAATTAAAGTTTGTGTTGCTATAAAAAATGCCTGAATCCTACGGCATTTATGAATATAAAACCATACTTTTTTAGTCCATCTGGTATGCACTGCATAGTCATTGTTACATGTTTACATATCACCCCTCAATAGGCCAAGGTAAAAAGTTGAATTCATAAACTCTTGATTTGTGTTTGTACTTTTACCATTAGAAATTATGAAAATATAACTTTGATAGAAACATTTAAAAAGGATATCTATTCCCTGTAAGTTTATTGGCCTAATGATATAGTAAAACTCCAACACATTTACCAGGTATGTCTAAAATTTGCATGCATATGGTTAATATGCTTATTTATGAGTGTGAGTGAGTCAAAGCCTAAAAGTGAATGAGTAAAATTTTAAATATGCGCTGTAATTTATGCACTAAGCCATGCACTGAAATTAGTTCGCTAACAGGGTGTGTTTCAATTAATACATAACCCGTTGCCATCGATTCCAACTCATAGTGCCCTATAGGATAGAGGAGAACTGCCCCGTTAGGTTTCCAAGGCTGTAAATATTTATGGAAGCTGACTGCCATATCTTTCTCCCATGGAGTAGCTGGTGGGTTCAAACCACTAACCTTTGGGTTAGCAGCCAAGTGCTTAACAACTATCATAGCCAGGACTCCTTATTAAATACTCAGTGCCAATTATGTCATCATACAAAAAATGCATAATGACTACCTGAGGTATTGTCTATCAGACAGTATGACCAACATTTTGAGATTTTGAGTGTTATATCACCCTTACTCAAAGTAATGCTACCTTTGCCAAAAAATAAGTCTGAACTCCCATGAATTTCTCATCTCCCAGATAGGATCCTAATCTTTGGTACGTGTGCTAGTGCAATTCTGCTGTCAACAAGCTTACCTTATCCTTCCATGCACATTGGACTCACGGCCAACCGAGTAAGAAGCCTGGCACATCTTTTATAGTCTAGAGTAGAAATAAATCACAGACCATTGTCAGTTATCTGAACATACTTCTTTATAAAATAAGAGGTTTGTTTTTCTCTTCTTTGCAAGTATATCAACTGCTAAGGGAAGCTCTGGTGGCATAGTGCCTAGGGCATTTGACTGCTAACCAGACGGCAGGTGGTTCAAACCCACCAGCTATTCCCCAGAACGAAGGTTGGGCAATCTACTTCTGTAGTAATACTGCCTCAGAAACCCAAAGAGGGGGTCATTAAGAGTCAGATCCGACTCGATGGCAGTGAGTTTGTTTTTGGAGTTTTTATCAACTGCTGAAGCCATTTATTTCTTTAAATATCATGAAATCCCTAGAAGCAATATGAAAACTGTCATCTGCAATCAAAGGTTCTAAGTTGTTTATTTAATAGTTTATGATACTTCAGAGGCTGCAGCATTACATGCCAAAGTTAACTAATATGTTTGGGGTGGAAGGGTATGAGGGAGGAAGGGGTAAATGCTGCTCTCTCTCTGTCCATTTTCTTCTTTCAGTGGCTATCAGAGCTCATCAAAGTAACACCAGTTTTTCCCAGGACACCAGGAGATAGGGTCTTTGCATACCCTTGTACCGAGAAGGCTGGCAGTTCAAACACACCAGCCACTCAGAAGGAAGACTGGGAATCTACTTCCACAGAGATAAAGCCTCGGAAACCCAAGGAGGGGTTACAATGAATCCGGACTGACTCCACAGCAGTGAGTTTGGTTTGGTTTGGTACTACCTCTTAGGAGGTTGTGTGCCAACCGAATCCCACCTGATTTGATCGTAACACAAAGCCTTCTGCATTAAAATTCTGAAGAAAATGGATCAAAAGGCAAGTTACAAAGCAGATACCTAGCCTGAATGACTAAAAGAAGCAATGGGTGAATTCTGAGAGCAGAATGATTTTCTTCAATATCTTATATATATAAATTTCCATTTTACTATTCTGATAGGTGTTACTAAAATAAGTGAGGATTAGTGATCATGGAAGAAGCCCTATTGGCACAGTGGTTAAAGAGCTCAGCTGCCAACCCAAAGGCCAGTGGTTCAAACCAACCACTCTGCGGGGACAATGGGTGGTGGTGGTGAAAATGGATCTGTAAAGATTTAGAGCCTTGAAAACCTTATAGGGAAGTTCTACTCTGTCCTACAGGGTCACTATGAGTCAGAATCGACTTTATGGCAGTGGGTTTTGTTTTTAGTGATCATGGCCATAAGGCAATTTTCTGAGGATGAAGTTCTGTGGAAAGCTGCAGTAGTTTATAAGTTGGTAAAATTTATTTCTCAAGAGCAGCAAAATTCCTACTTAAAAATGTAAAACAGGTCATACTTCTAACTGAAAATCTGAATGAATGAGTAAATTGACAACTATAAATCTGCACAATATGTCAAACAGATAAGTAGCTAACTCCATTTCTAAAAATATACATTCTAAATATTTAGAGTACAAGTTAGCTTGGGTTCAAAGGAGAAGAATGATCCAACAGCTAGAAGCTGGGTCATATGGACATCGCCTGGCTTTATTGCTCTTTTTCATCAGTTGCACCACAGTTTTCAGAATAAAACTGTTCTAAATAGATAATTTATAATGGTAATAGTAGATTGTGTAAATTCAAGGGCTGATCTAATCAAAGAATGGTAAATATTTTCCATATGCAACATGTCTGGAAACCCTAAAGTTGATCATATGTTCCCACTAAATATGAATATTCTCTAAGGCAATGCTTCTCAAATGTTAATTTGCATGCAAATCATCTGGGAATCTTATTAAAATTCAGATTTTTATTCAGTAGATCTGAAGTGGGACATAAAATTATGCATTTTTAACAAGGTACCAATGTTGTTGGTCCTGGGACCCACACTTTAAGTAAGAAGGTCCTATGGTTCCTTTCAGTTCTAACATTCCAGGAGTCTATGAGTTTTCTTTCATTCAATCTAAAGGAGCATATATGTGGCCTAACTTCAGCTCTGCTGCTCTTTATAGCCTACGAAGAGGTGAAAACCAATCAAATAGCCACCCATTTGAATACATAAATATCAGTAGTGCACCTATAACAAAGATCCAGGATGAACTGTGGTTGTGTCTTGATCAGTGCCTTACTTTAGGATGACTGTGTTATCAGGAATCCAAGTGACTATGAGCAAAAGAAGTAGCATATGTGGAGCATAGCTTGATGTATTAGAGAAGGACTGACAGAGTCAGAATATGAGGTTTCAGTCCTAGTTTTGCGAAGACCTGTTTGATAGTGTACCAACTTAAACTTTTAAAAGTCTGCTTCCTCATTCATAAGTGAAAAGATTAGATGTAAAGACTTCTAAAATCACTTTCAATGTACAATTTCTGACTCCATTATTTTAAGACTATGTTTCATATAAAAATATATAAACATTTAATAATAAAAAAGGTTTGCTGACTCTAGGAAGCAAGTTAATAATTCTCAAACAGAAGGTGATTCTATTTTAAAGGAAGGAAATAAGGAAGCAATGGTATACTAAGCACATATGGCATGAATGAAAGGGTAGATCTGAAGCACAGTGCCTTGGAATTTATAAAAGCAAAACTACTTAGTAAATGTTTGCTGCTTGCTTTGGAGTTCAAATGGTATACTGATAACAGCATGACCAGATAGGCCTTCAACTGAATCCCATTTGTTCCTACTTGCTTGTGTGATATGTTTCCCCTGTGTGATACGTTTATACAGTTTCATGTGTAAAATGATAGCAATACCCACCTTGCTGTTGTTATAAAAACTGATAGAACGTTTGTGAATGTGCCTAGCAAAGTGCCTGGTAATAGTAGTAATGCTCTATACATGAGAGCTTTATGATTGGGATTAACTTAAGTAATTTAAACAGAAAAAGTAAAAATAAAAAACTTCCACTTTATGTAAATAGGCATTTTTGAAGGCAGGGCAGGTAAGTTTGGTCTGCTGCTCTGCTTGCCCCTTCTGGATAGTCTCTCAAAGTGCTAAGTAAGATATCTTGTATACTTGTAAGATTTTGTTCTTGCCAGTCTTAAAATTAAACTTTTAGTGCATATATATTAAAAAAAAAAAAAAAAAAAAGGTTTAGGGATCTAGCAGATGCAATTCCACCTAACAGCACTTGTTATTGTTACACATGGTGTAAAGAGCATAGTGAGCCTCTTTTTGGGAGATGACATGCATTTTGCTGTGAACAGATAGCCAGAAGCACCATGTTGAAGAAAATGATAGGGACATTTTTATATGAGTCAATGAAAGGAAACCTACAAGGAGGAGAGAAAATTACAGTGAGAGCTAAACTGATGAGGACAGCTATGCATTTCTAATCTACTGATGAAGGCACCCAGAAAAGCAGGATTTTGAAATAGTAATAGAGTTCCTGGATAATGAGGTAGAATTACTGATAGAAAAAGTCTCTGCTCAGCGTACTGGAGATGGTCAAGAAGGTTCAATCAGAAAGGTTCAGGTCAATCTGATTTTTTACTCCCCAGATTATAGATTCAGAAATTAATTTTTAACATTTATTTGTTAGTGCAGCAGATACAAATACAGACATCATCCAGAATATATAAAAAAGACAAAAATGTTAACTGAAGAAGCCCATTCCAAGGGATGACTAATTATAATGAATGTATATAATTTTCAGTTTTGTCACAAATTTTGCTAGAGAATAATCTTCAATGATCTGGATACCATGGTCCCTAATTCCATAGTTAAGAAGGAATATATATTAGAAAGTATGAATTTTAAAAGTCAGGGTCTAATTAATGAAAGTACTTGAAAATAATCCATCTATACTATACTTATATTTATAAAGTAATTTACAGATGTTGTCACTTACATGCAGGAATGGTGCAGTCTCTGGTGTTGTGATAAAGTCTATGAAAGTGTTTGCTACACTTTGGGCTAAAATAAAGAGGACCTATAACATGGAAGAAGAAAAGAGATCATAAGGATTCAGCAAAATCCAAATGAATTTAAGGAAACGTGAAGGCATGGGAAGAAAGTTTACCTGTAAGATGTTTTAAAAACTTGTCCTTCATCCTTAGATCTCGAGGAACAATTTCTGTTTCAGGAGAAAGAAAGCAGAAGTGAATTATCACATTGCCTGAAAGAAGCACTTTGTTTTCCTCTAACCGTAAATGCATACTGAAGAAAGTTACTGGAAATTCTGTATTAATCATATTATTTGCACTAAATAAAACAGACCACAGCCACCCCTGATTGTCATATATGACATAAATGTGAAAACCTGGACTAATGGGCGTATTTTTCTTCAAAATAAAATGAACTATTCACAAAGCTCCAATGTTACCTGTCTAGCTGTCTACCACCAGGATACAGACAGCAATCTTAAAGTTATAGGGTGAAGGTTATTTTTGACAGTGAGCTTCCACTGAATACATCACTTTTAGATACTTTCATTTTGCAGAGCTTGGGAATCAAATCTCACAACCTCCCTAAATTCTAGGGAGAAAATCTAACACTTCAAACAAAAAATTTGTTACAGAATATACTATTTCCTGGTATATATTTAGATAAAGGATTAAATGCCTTCAAAACCACCTGTTAAGAAGGCTGACATAAATAAAATATACATTAACCTTATTTATAAGATAAACATAAAATTTCCATGGAAAGCCTCTCCCAAGAAAACTTTTACAACATCGCTCGTCTTGCACTTAATAAACAGCAATGGTTTCCCTGACATTCCTTCTGATTTCAGCTTTAGTGCTTTGCTTATTACAGTAAGCTTTAATCATTTTCACTTATCTGTTCTGTAGTAATAACTGAACGATGACTACATGTGATGTCACACTTATGTTTCCACAAATACTCCTTAGTTCCTTCCCGCATGTCACTGAAGGAACATTTCCATTAGAATCTTACTCACTTGCAGGGTTTAGACATCTCCCTGATGTCAGTCTTCATTACTCCTAACTTTAGTCAGTCTATATAAAATTGACCTTATCATATTTGACCTAATTATGTCATGAAAAGCATTAAAGCTTGCATGCTTTCCTCAGAAATTTCCCATGGGGCAGTCACTCTGGGAAAGGCTTTACCATAGGAGGAGAGCTCTGAAACATTTCTTTTTCTGTTGCAACTGCTTTGCTGAAAATACTTCCATTTGCAAAATAACAGATGACAGTTCTATGCAGAAATTACTGACACTGGTAAGAATTTGTACATTAGTGGGCTAGTTAATGATTTATCTATGAGGTAGCTATGCATAAACCTCTATTTTCTCTTAAAAATGTTTTTTTTTTTTTAACAATCAGAGCTGATTTCTCATTTTACATGTGTTTTCTTAAAGACACTTGTACTTTGAACCAAATACGAATTTCTCCTTTGATATGAAAGTTTGATAAATATACTCAAGAGTCAAATTGTTAATAGTAGTCCATTATTATATGTGTCTGGGAGTGTGCATGTGTGTGTGTATGTGTGCAGGACTTGTTGAGATAAATAATGTAAAAGAGAGGCTGACTTACCAACTCTTTGCTCCTCGGGATAAACTCCGTAGTCAGTGACCTCCCTACGGCCCAAAGTATAGTCATGTTTGCTGAAAAACTGCAATTTCTTGTATTCCCCTAAGTGGTATTTTTTAAGTTCCTGAATGATTTCCATGATGAGGTTTAAAAGAGTCTGTCTGTCTGTGATTTCTTGAGATTCAGTTCTCCCTCGGCACGGTACCAATGTCACCAGCAAGAGCACCAGCCCCAGAAGGACAGAACGCCTCGGTCCACTCATTTCAGTTTGCATAGGAAGGGTCAGGATGGTGGTTAAGTTAGGGATGAGTCTGGAAAAAAATCCAACACCCTCTCCAGGATCTTTGTTTACTGAAAGAAAGCGGGGGGAGGGGGGGAAGACGGGGAAAGAAAGTTGAGGGGAGGGGGAAGAACACTCAGTAAACCGATCAGAGGTGCAGAACAGGGAGAGAGAAAAAAGTGGCCCGCTTCCATGCAAACTGTGGTTGGATCCAGCCACCTGGCGCTAGAAGTCACCCCTGTATGGTCTCCCAGTCCATCCTCTGTGCTCGGCACTCGGGGGAGCGCTGCCCTCCCCAACCCCACCTCACTGCTCCAGGGAGGGAGCCGAAGGCCTGGCGAGATTCGTTGCTTCCAGTACCCCAAGGAAGGGCATATTTTCAAGTGTTGGAGCCAAACCGTGGTGTTGCCTCGGTGACTCCGCACTCAGCCAGCCTTTCCTGGCGGGCCAGACGGGTTGGGCAGGTGAGGCGGAGAGGACGGTTGCAGAACAGTCACAAGAGGCTTGGCCATGCTCTCCACCAGGACTCCCACCCCTAGAACCCATTCCACACTGAGAAACACATTAATTAATCCTGTGATTTTAAACTTCAGTTTCTGCTTCGCTCCTTTAAATACCCTGGCTACATTGACTTTTCTCTCCGTTTGGCACTCTCCTGAATCCCAACCACGCAGAGATAAACCTTTTAACTTTTCATATAAATTCTACTATCCGATTCTTTATCACAGTGTATCAACGATACTTCTTATTATTTTTTTTAAATGCTGTTCTGGCCAACTTATCTGTTCGTGGGGTGAACACTTTGAAGTAGTTTGACCCCCTTTGAAGCTACCCTCACCTCTCTCCAAAAAAATAATTAGAAGAAAAGGAAACGCAGCACCAAGCATTTTAGTGATCATACTCCCAGTTTGGGTTCCTTAAGTTTCTTAAATCAAAGCCTTTTTTTGTTGGGAAAGGGGGTCCAGTTAGGTTGCCCTCCCAGGGACCTGAAGTGGTGGCCGCGCCCTGGTAGAGCCCCCCTCAGCGGCCCTGACTCGGTTCCTGAGGCAGAGGAGCAGCCGCGCGTCCAGAGCGCTCTGCCCCGCGCTGGCTCTGTAGTGCAGGACACCCAGGTGCCGGCACCAGGAGCAACGAGGCACTCGGGAACCCCGAACGCGGGCAGAAAGGCTACCCGCATCTCCAACCCGTGCGCGCGCGAGGACGTGCCCCCTTGACCCGACCCTGTTTGCGGCTGCCAGGCTTCTGGAAACCCACTCGTTCCTTTGCTGCTGGGCAAGCGCAGTCGAGGCGGGAAGCCGAGAGCCCGGCGGGGGGAGGGGGTAAGCCTGCGAAGACGCTTTGCGAATAACTGCTAGGGCCACTTCCAGCTGGTTAGCCACGTGTAGGTCGGAGAGCTGGTAGGTGGCGAGCGTGGGATGGGGGACGGCGAGCTCCAGCTTGAGAGTTACCTGTCTTCGCGCCCTTGGAGCCGCCGACGTCGGTCTCGACGTCTAGGCAATGTCCCTGCCGGCCCAGAGCCTCAGCGCGTCCCACTACTCCATGCCCAGCGCCTCGGCTTATATAGCTTATAGGATGCGCGGTGCCCGGTGACACGGTCAACTCCAAGTGGGTGGAAAACCACAGCAAGTCCGCGCATCCGCCTTCGGAGTGAGTGCTGTTGCCCAAGTTCCCGGCTCAGATCCTCTTGGCGGGGTCAGCTCCGTTGCTTCTTATTCTCGCGCCAGCAGACGTAAGGCGCGGGTCCCGGGAGGGTTCAAAAGCCGTAGTCTTTAATTAGAAACGCGTTAAGAAGCCGCTGAAATATTCATACCCTTTTGTGTGGATCTTCGTCAGACCCCCCCCCCCCCCCCGCCCCAATCTCTCCCTCTCCCTACCCCCCTTTCTTTCTCTCAGTCTATTTCCCTCCGTTCCTGTCACTTGTGACAGGATGAGAAGAAACGCCTTTACCAGGAACTTGGATCTGTTTTTGTCTAAATGTAGATCTTGGGGCTATTAAAAAAGGAGCGGCTGCTTGATTGCCTCGACATTTAATAAGTCAATTAAAGTCTATCTATTTTGGAGGGATTGGATGGCGTTGCTGGGGAACTACTCTAAGGACACCAATGCGGTCTGCAAGGACCTAAGCCCTGCTCGAGTGCCCCCTCCCCAATACGGCTCTTCAAAGAGAGTGGAGGCAGCAATTAGGGTCGATGGGCTTGAAAAGAGGCAAAGAGAAAACAAAGTAAACAGTGCAGGAAACTTGCAGTTGCACACAGCTGCCAAAGGTATGTGCAGGAGTCCCCCTCCTTCTGCACCCACGTTTCCTCTTACTAAAACCTACCCATTTTTATCTATGGTTGCAAGAAAACAACGCAAAAGGCTATTTTGTAGAAACCTCTTCTGTCCGTCCCTTTTGGAGATTATACTGCCTTAACCATCCCTGCCTTTGTGTGTTAATCCTTGTTTTAAATTCTCCTGTAGGCTTGACATTCTCTCCCCATATCTCTAAAGAGCTTGAAGGAGAGACCTCCCTGACCAATCCTTTCTTGGGGGACTTACCTCCAGGGCTGTCTTTAAGAAAGTTTTGGTTCTTTGAATGTAGGCTGACACATTTGTGAAAATTCAACAATTTACCTTCTTTGATTTTTTTTTCTTTAAAAATGTATTATCAATCAATTGAGCACTTTTCCATTTTATTGGCACTTTGTGGGCAAGAGCTGGATATCCTCCAAGAAAGAGTATCTAACTGGGAAAGGTGTTCTAAGTACAATACCAGAAAGAGAGACTGTGGGCAAGAATTACAAGCCTTTGCCATTTACAGGGACAGTTACACAAAGGCAAAGACACAAAAAATGTCAGTGCTCATGTGTGTGTAGACTAAGTATTGACACAGAAAAGACAGATTGCTAAATTTTCCAGTAACTCTCTTCCCGTATTCTCTCTCTCTCTTTTCTTTTCCCTCTCTCCCTTCTTTCTCTCTCTTCCTCCTTTCACACGGATGACAACGTACTTACTTGATGGAGTGGGGATGGAGTAGGTAAAGTAAAGATGAAAGAAATTAAAATGTGATCATCTAAATCCCCCCACACACACATACACACACACTTTGTTTATACTGTGTTCTTTTTGAAAGTAACTGATTTGCTTTCATAGTAAACTTTTTTTTCCCAAAACAATATGACTAAAATGTGAAAGTTTCTGTCAAAATGTAGTCAAGAAAAATAAAAATTCGAACCAACTGGATCTTAGGCAGATAAAATGAGATAGTTTTTCTTTTCCCTGTTTGCCTTTCTGTGTATAAAAAGAAATGTAAGCTCCTTTTGCAAGAGCGACGCCTAGTGACAGACACTTGCCTCCTGCTATTATTTGTTCCTTGGTGTCATTCAAAGAGAGTTCCAATAATGCTGTGGTTAAGGCAGTGAGCTGCAACCAAAAGGTTAGTAGTTCTAACCCACCAGCAGCTCCATGGGAGAAAAATGAGGCAATCTGCTTCCTTAAAGGTTTTTCAGCCTTGGAAACTCTATGGGGGTCTTTAAAAGTGGAAACAGACTCAATGGCAGTGAGTTTGATTTCTTAAGAGTCCCATTCAGCATCCATCATTTAGCCTGGCCCCTGTAGGGGTCACAACCTCAGTTTCCAAAACAATAGAAGCGTTTTGTAAAATATATTGATGTAGAACTGTATTTTTTGGGAAAAAAAATATTACAGTGGTGAAAAAGCAAACAAATTAGCCCAATTACATCTTATTTTAAATTTACATAGAATCTTTTCTTTTTCGTAATATTTTACTAAACCAAAAACTAGATTTTTTTCAAAAAATACCAGTAGAATACATCTTTCCCACCCCAAATTCTACTAGCCAAAAAAGTGTTGCCAGTCATTAGCATTACACTTTTTTTTTCTTTTGCAGTTTTTAATGGGATGAATGGATTCCATTTGAATAAATCTCATGACTCATTTCTACCACTCAATTGTATATGCCAGCACTTCAGCACAACTCATTAGAAACTTTCATGCATAAACAATGACAACAAAACTGGTCCTTGGTTTGTGTTTGGATTCATGAGATCTGGGAATTAAGAATCATAATTCAGGTGTCAATTCATTCATCTTTGCAAAGGTCTATGCTAAAGTGACTCCAGGTGCCTCTCATTGTAAAACCAAATTTACAGACTTTTTCAAGTTGCACAATTAATAAAAGAGAGTACCAATTTATTAAACTGTACTGAAGTTTTGAATTTTGGGTATTTTCAGGATGAATTCCTTGGGTTTTTCCAAATACCATAAATGTGTGAATTATACCCATTGTTAACACAATCTGATTAACTAAATTGATTGGCTTTTCTGGTTAAGACAAAGTAAAGCACACAGAAGTATATATGAAGATGTAAAGTTGTATTTCACAAATCACTTAGTCTTTCCATTTCTTTTTTTGTGAAAAATGGGATAGTTGGGCCACATAGTCTCCTAAATCTAAAATTATATATATATCAATTATTGTTGCAAAAAAATAGTCTGGAAACAAGAAAATGGAGAATTTCGTATAAAAAGCTGAAAATAATTCACTTGAGACCATCACTATGACTTTTACCATCTGTTTTCAGGCAAGAAGAGGTGATATGTTTATATTAAGTAATTTAATTTCCTCTGTTAGTAGGTGAACGATTTCTACTATAAAGGGTACAAAAGCCAAAAAGATAAGAAAGAAAATTAAACAACAAACTACATGTGGGGACTACTGGAAAAAAAATATTTTGCTAGATTTGATTTAGTTTTACTTTTTTTCCTGAGAAAACTGTATTGGATCACAGGAAGAATACTAACCAGAGGAGGGGAAATTGTGCATTATCTGCTTTTAGTATACATCTGTGTCATGTTGTGATCAAGTTATATTTTCAATTTGTAAACATAAACCTCCACCATTTCAATTTAGCAACCATTTTTCTCTTGTCTGAAAAACTTATGTATTTTATTTAAGATGAATATCTGCCTTCAAAGACTTT